TTATGCAGCAGTCTTAAGATTTAAATCAAGGTTAGGATTTGATTTCACAGCTTTCTAAATCATAACTTGAATGCAAATGGAAATAAAGGTTAATTACATGCGAACTTTTAAAAGATTACGCCAGGTATTTCAAGAAAAAATATTAATCATAAAGAGCATTATAAGGCTATAATTAAGCTATTCAACTCTCTCTCTCAGAAACTTTTAATTATGCCTCGTGGATAAGCTAGCCATTAATTTGAGAGACATCAACCATATATTTTTCTCGGAACATTTAAATGGAGCTCTCTTGACCTTCATGGAGGTGATCTCTCTCTTGCTATCTATTGTTGATAAGAAATTAAATCTTCTTTAGGTAAAACATGATCAATTCATGATAAAAACATTTTCTTATAAATTTCATTATAAGTTTTAAGGTTCTTATTTCACCAATAGAATTAAAAAAAAGGTTGATTTAAAGAAGAGAGAATGCTTGGAAAAGAATTCCTTTATTATAGCAAATATAAATCAATTCCTTTCACTAATGATACATAAATATACAGGATAGATTGTACTTTAAAATATGAAAAAAAAATAATACAGGACATTGTTAGTCATTGATTTGAATTCAAAGACTAAGATTTGACGAATATAATAGATCATATTCCAACTAACATGAGAGGATTCAATTTTTTTTTAACGAGAATTAACCGGTTGATTTTAATCAATAATTAAAGGGTCAATTATCCAGTGTAGCCAGTGCATGTAGAAACACTAGTTCCATTATCAGATGATTTTCAATAATAATAATAAAAAATTATCGTGAATGCATCAAATTATATATATACACTATAATTTAAAACAGTCTTGGTTTTGATGCATAAAAGCAGATCCAAAAAACTCAAAACTATTGAAATAATAAAAAATAAATAATAGGAAAAGGGTTGCAAAGTTTATGGGTATACATGTGTTTACGTGTGTGCGCACGAGGGTAATAAACTTAATGATATCTTTTTGTGTGTGGTAAAAGAATTAATGATAAATGGGCGATCAAAAACCTACACAATCTCCTTAACATGATTTCCCTACACTCTACCAATTAATATATATATAAAGCATGCACCTTTTTGGATTTAAATGAGAGGAAATCGAGAGAAGATTGAGCGGAGATTTGCCCCTAAAAATACCTAGGGACCATTTGGTGACTAGGTGGCTAATTATGCTAGGAGCGAGAAGTTCTCCAATAGTTGTGCAATAAAAAATGATATACAAGACAATGTGCTCCTACTTGATTTGCTAAACACCCAAACATGTCTTCATACTAGTTATCTATCATCTTCTCTCGCTCTCTTCCCTCTATCTATCCATATAAATATGTCGAGGACATTGATAGTCTGCATTTGCAAGCTCTAATTCATTCTTGACGAGGCTCCCTCTCTCCTCCATCGCTGCTTTCACTTTTCAGGTCAGTTTTTTTGAATATTTGCTGTTCTTGTACAAGTTTATACTCATGCTATGGTTTTTTGAGCTTGTGTTTAATTTCATTGTTGAATAACTCTCTATGTGTATATATGTGCATGCATGTATTTATCTCATGCTTGTTTGGCGAGAAAAACATGAATGAATGAAGGATAAAAACCATTTCGAAACTGAAGTAAGGGATTTTTGAGTCCCTTAGTCATTAGGGTTCGCATCTTCGATATCCCTTCTACATTTCTCTTCTACATACAAAAGTAGCAATCTTTTTCATGGGAGGCAAGCTATGGTTAGATGCAATTTAATTCACACTATACGCATCTACCATTAATTCCCTTTTCTTGCTTTCTTTTCTCTTTTCCAACTTAATTGTTTTTTTGAGTGCTTTTCTTTTCTCTCGAGAAAAGAACCCTTAATCTGCTAACAGTAGGTTTATTCTCGTTCTTTGAAACGAGGCAGTCCTTTTCCTAAGATAGGGCTTGAACCCTTGCTTTAATTCTTCTTCTTAATTTATTTTCCTTTGTTATCTTTCCTCTTACTGCTGGCCATGTAGTGTGCATATTTACTGAGGCACTGTACGTCTTTGGAAATTAACCCTGTCTTGATCTTACCATTTAGCACAGAAAAGGTATGGGAATTCTCATTTCTCTCCAAGTTTCCTGGCACTAAACTTAAGACAGCAGTGATAATTAAAAAAAAAGATATTTATTTGTCATTACTTCCTTTTATAAGAATTATTGTAGCTTGGAATTGATGTCCAAAACCTTGTGCTTATCATCGAAGCACAGTAGACATAGCATATATAGCAAAGAATTAGTGAGTATTTTCAGTGCCCTTTTCTTATTAAGCAAAAGAGGAATGTGTTTTTAATTCTAAGGACCAAAATATTATCCCAAACACATCAAATCTCATGATTTTTGTGTCATATCACACCTGCGTAATTTGCAGCACTAAACACCAAAATAACCCTTGTCATCTTCCCCGCTATACTTTGGCCCATATCTTGGTCTTGTCGCCTGTACCTATCTATCTCCATCTCCGACGAGGTCATTGCAATTATTTTTTGGTTGATTATTGTGTGATAAACTTTTAACTGTTAAAATACCCATGATTCTCCTCCAAAACACCATTTCAGTAAAAATTATCTGCGTGTTAGAGCTTATAAATGCTAGACTGATGACAGGTAATCTTTGTGCATTTCAAGACTACGAATAATTTATGTTCATTCGGCTGCATTGACTAGGATTTCGTGATCTATAATATTCAATCATGAAGTGGCAAACTTGTATATCATTAGTTTTTTTTAATTATATTATATAAATATCCAAATCAGAATTACTTTTAATATATTATGGAAATATACCTTTTGTCGGGAAAAGAAAAAGTTTTAGGGTTTACCCTCTGTCTATTTTACATGAGGGAAGCACATAAAGCTTCCAAGTATATTAAGAATTTGATTAGTGATTATATCTACTGACATGCCCGATAATTAGAGCTCGTGTGGGTTGTAATCTATCTTGATTAGTGAGTAGATGCCCTTGCCAGTTAGGGTTCACTGCCTTCATTTTTTCAGCCATTGAAAATTAGAAGATCAATAATAATTATCTCCTTGAGATCTGCCACACAAAACCAGCACATTGATAGTCCTTATCCTTGGATTCTTGTCTTCATATGGGCATGCTAGTATATGGCAGTGGAGGCATACAATGCAAATAGCAAGGCCGTTAACATCTCATCGTCCCACCAATCACATAAATTAAGGATGTGGATGTCTATTTATCTGTGGAAATATATTTATGTAACGTTATCATGATAATAATGCATATTTAATGCAGCAAATAAGCAAGGAGATTTGTTCTCCTTGTCAAGATAGAATATAAATACGTAAAATCACATTTAATTATAGCAGAATCTCATCCATGAAAGGAAATTATTTTAAAAAAATCATTAGCTGCCGTATCATTAATTAAAAAAAACCGTTAATCTTTATTAAAAAAAAGAGAGAAGAAGAAGAAGAAGGAAAATAGCATCTCTAGATATAAATAGGCTAAGACTTTTGCACATTGTTTTGTACTGTAGTCATTGTAGTCAAGTATCTGTCCATCGCACATGGTGGGTCTCATCAAGGTTTCTTATGTTAGGTTTCTTTCCATTAACGACACAAAATCTAAAGTATTCGTCTCGATTAGATTGTTAGATTTAAATAAAATAATAAAAAATCACACCAAACTCAAATCTATCGATTTAACCATTATGGGCATTCTACTCGTTCCTCCATGGTAGTAAAAAACCCTTTTTTATATATATATTTCATGCTAAAAGATCTCGCTTCAACTTTTTGCCCTTTTCTTGATTTGATTTTTTGGCAACTCCCCTCGACTCCAAATGGTGAAAAAGAGGTTCCTTTTCACGGAGACGTATTTGGTTAAGGAGACAAAACCCTTTTCATCGAGCAAATAGAATAAGGTCACTTCTTGTTGCTATATTTAAACCATGGACCCACTTCCAAACACAACACATCAACGTGTCCAAATCAAACGGTTGATAAAGTTAGAGAGCATAGCAAAACTTGTGGCGGACCTTTCAGATTGTGACACTGAATTCTTCTTCTTTCAATCTTGTTTTGGGTGGTATTGAAAAAATATTATATTGATTTTTTAATGGTTCTTAATAACATTGATATATTTATATTAAAAATAAAAAATTATTTTACATGTTTTTTGCTAAAAAAACAAACTGAAAAGGGGTTTGGAGGCTTCTAAAGATTGAAAAACAAAACAATATGTCCTCAATTTTGATTTTATTTATTTACGATGTGACACGATGCATTACCAATATTGATATTGATAGATAGATACCGGACCATGATCCATCTTATCATTTCCTTTTCATTCACAAGTCGCGACCTCTCCAGGAAGTCTCCTCTTCCCCACAGCCACCAGAACCATCCGTAATGTTTGGTACACCGCAGTCTTCACCTCACAATGGAGTGCTTCTGTGGCCATTAGAGTCTCCATTGTTTTTTTCTAATTACAAGAATCTCCATATTTATTATGAGTGAGTGTGTAATTGCTGTGCAGCAATTAGACAAGTCCCAGAACAGTAGGAAAGCAGAGGTCTTTAGGCTTCACCAGGAATGCCTGATCTCAATGAAGGAAAATTCACCGAAAATGACAAAGCTCAATTTGTGAAAAAATAAAACCAAAAAAGGGGTTTGCACAAAGAGGAAAGGCCAAAAACTGAGAATTGGGTTTTGGAGAATGAGAAAGAAAGAAACTGAAAGCTATGTATGATAGTAAGGGGAAACAAAGCAAGATACTTCTTCAACCAACAAAAGATATCAAGCTGAGTTTTCATGTAATCATAGAATCCGAAGTCTCTCTCTCTCTCTCTCTCTCTCTCTCTCTCTCTCTCTCTCTCTCTCTCTCTCTCTCTCTCTCTCTCTCTCTCTCTCTCTCTCTCTCTCTCTCTCTCTCTCTCTCTCTCTCTCTCTCTCTCTCTCTCTCTCTCTCTCTCTCTCTCTCTCTCTCTCTCTCTCTCTCTCTCTCTCTCTCTCTCTCTCGACTTTTCTTGTTTTTTTACCGTCTTTTTATTGCATTCTGTGGATATATCTGTCAGCAAGACAACCCGGAAATGTGTGATAAAAAAAACAAGAACAGAAAAACAGAAATACCCACAAACAGAAAGGTCTTTCTCTAGTCTCTCCTTTCCTTTTGATCTCTAAAAATGAAAAAAAAGAAGAAGCACAAAACCCAAGATTTTATAGGCTTTTCATTAAGTGATCAGAACAGCTGAGTAATCGCTTTCTCCTTTCCGGTCCTCTTCCTAGCAAGCAACCTAGCGTGTTTTATGTGCTGCGTTGTTGCGGTAGTACTGACAATAGCTTCTTAGGCTCACAGCAGCTGATGTGTAGTGTTGTTGTGCCTATAGCTATACTACTTCTTGAAGTATCACAGCCTGTCTTGATTGGTTGGTTCATGGTTGGTTCTTTCTACTTATTGTTTCTCTTGTAAATTTCACCATTTAACGCCTTTTTAGAAACTCCCAACAAAAAACCCCGAAAAAAGAAGAAGTAAAAACCAAGCTCAACCGTGTTATGTCCACGTGGTTTTACTTTAATGCCTATAATTAAGTACAATTCTAGGTGTCGTTCTTTTCAAAAATTCAATTCTTTGGCTTAAATTTGGTTTCGTTTTATAACGTTTGATTCTTTTGAAATTTGCTCCCTTGGTTAAGTTTCGTTTCTCAAACCAGTGTCTCATTAAGCTTTGCTGCTTCTTTTTGTTTTTTTCTTTGGCTTTGTGTTGCAGAGGGAAAGGAAAGACTGCTGCTTTGCTGCTACATTATAATCACAGCACACAAAAGAGAACGAGGCTAGCAGTATTTGTAGCTAAAACAACAGCCAACACTAGTTTTCTTGTTTATTGGACCTAGCAGCCACTCGTGTTTGATGCTTGCAAAATAAAGTAAAGATTTAGACTTTTTTTCATTCACATTATCCAGATCTCGGGACCCTTTTAACCATTGGTGATATTGACATTTGTTGCAAATTCATTTATTGGTGTGGTTCAATTTTAGTGTGCGCGTGGCAGTGTCACCTTTCCTTCATCCGCCATTTTCTCTTATAAGCCAACCAATTGAGTTTAGAATTGTGTTTCGATACATAGCGCTTAAGGAGCATTGGTTTTGATGGGCTTGTTTTAAATGTGCAGAAAAGTGTGCGCGTTGACTCTTGAGGTGCTGCAATACATAATTAAAGGAGGGGGCGGTGATTGATAGTGGTTTTTGCAGTGGAGGTCTTGGTTACTTTGCATGAATATCAAGGTACAGGTTACCAGGAGCTTTGATCTTAGTTTATTCCATTTGATTATTATTGTCATTTCCGGATTTTAGGTGTGCCGATTTATAGTTATATATTATTCGTTTCGGGGTCTTTCTTATATTGGTGATCTAGAAAATGCTTATGAACAGCTTGTCACTTTGTTATTGGTGGTGTTGATGTTAGAAGCTGGTTCCAAGTATTTTCCTAGTAAATGCAAACTTACACTGTTTTCCATATTTTATACAGTGGAACTCGGTCCGTGAATTGTGCCATTGGTGGGTTTATATAGGTGGTTGTTAGTACTTGATATGGTTAACTAGAGAAGGGCGTGTTGAGGACAGTGGTTTTTGATGTGGAATATTGGTCTCAAGTACCTGAAGAGATGCTGAGCTCTGATGAAGGAAAGCGTGATCTGTTCTATGATTCTGTGGATTACTTCGAATCGGGTTGTGATCAATTGGAGTATGATATTTGGTTGACCGAGCCACAAAGTGTTGAGGAGAGACGCCAAGGTTTTCTACGCGGAATGGGTCTAGATGGGTTTGCTTCCAAGAGGCATGAGAACACTGGGTTGGAGAGGATCACTGAATACAGTGGGGCTGTATCAAGTACTTCAGTTCCATGTACAAATGTTGAAGAGGTAAATATGGTTAGTTGCAGTGCTGGTAGAGAGGAAAATTCTGAAGCCAATTGTGTGGTTGATCAAATGAGTAAAGACAAGATGGATAAATCGGATGTAGCTTCTGAAAATGAGAATATTGGACCTTTACTCGATTTGCAAGGATGGGAACAATGTGAAGAAGAAAAATGTAAAAAGTGTGATTCAGGAAAAAGTAAAATGAAGAGTTGGTGGAAACACTTTTTAAAAAAGAGCAAGGAGGAAAGAGTAGGTAGATGTGTATCTGGGGTATCGAAGTCGGATACTGAAGCACCAAAAACTAACAGAACGAAGGTGAAGCAGAACAGAAAGGGTTGCATGGAGTTTACAGGGGTATATATGGGACAGGAAATTCAAGCTCACAAGGGCTTCATTTGGACAATGAAGTTTAGTACAGATGGGCAGTATTTGGCAACTGGGGGTGAAGATAGGATTATACGCGTTTGGCGTGTTACATTGGTGGATTCATCTTGCAAGTCTTTCCTATCTGAAGGACATTGTGATAGCAATCTGAAAGAAGCCAAGTCTAATAATTTGAGCACAAAGAAAAGAGTGTATTCATCTATAGTCATTCCTGAGAAGGTTTTCCAGATTGAAGAGACACCATTGCTGGAATTTCATGGTCATGCCAGTGAAATTTTAGACTTAGCATGGTCTGATTCAAACGTGAGTAAATCGTGTAGAAAACTCAGTTTGATTTACATAATTGTCAAAATAATAAATCTTTGATCAATATACATGAAGCTAAATTAGTAATTTCTGTTGCAGTATCTCCTTTCATCTTCAATGGATAAAACTGTTCGTTTGTGGAGATTGGGTTGCAACCATAGTCTGAACATTTTTCGCCACAGTAATTATGGTAATTACAAGAAAAGTTCCTTCTCATATCTCTTTGATCTGCGATTCCATTATCATTTTTGCATATCATTTCATTTGTTCTCTTTGTTGCCCCCCCCCCCCCCCTTCCACTTGAATTTGTTACGTGTTAATGATTTCTAAGCTGACTCTGCTTCATTTCTTTGAATGGCACAGTAACATGCATTCAGTTCAGTCCTGTTGATAAAAACTATTTCATTAGTGGCTCCATCGATGGAAAAGTTAGAATTTGGGGAGTGCCTGAGAAGCGAGTTGTTCACTGGACAGATGTACGAGATGTAATATCTGCCATAAGTTACCAGCCAGATGGGAGAGTATGATTCTGATCCTTATTCTTTTCATATTATATTCCATCTAAATTTTCCACACAATTATCATGCTAACTTTTTAATTTTTGAGCAGGGGTTTGTAGTTGGTACCATTAAAGGCACTTGCCGTTTCTATGAAGTATCAGGTAGATATTTCTTCTACGTTGAAGTGCTTTACTTTTTTTTAAATTGATCCTCCATTCATCCTTCTCTTAGAGGATTTTGAACTGATTTTTTATGGTGTATAGGTACTGATCTCCAGCTCGAGGCAGAAGTTCATATTCAAGGCAGAAGGAGAACCTCTGGCAACCGAATAACTGGCATTCAGGTTTTACACTCGAATCTCTTTTCATTAGAAAATTGAACTTGACATGATCTTGTTTAGTATTAACATTTGATATCATCTCATCTTGCAGTTTTCCCAGGAAATATGTCCAAGGGTTATGATCACATCTGAAGATTCTAAAGTTCGTGTATTTGATGGGGTTGACATCGTTAATAAATTTAAAGGTAAAATATGCAATATCAATTCTTTGCAAGGGTTATTTGGAGACCCTTTACTAATTTGTTTCTGATGTACATTTCCTATTTTGAAGTGCCATTTCATCTTCTTTAATTTAATTTATGGTTGTGCAAAGAGATGCTCTAGTTGTTTGTTCTATTGGACTCGTGATCAAGAGCCATGTGTTGTTGTACATTAGAATGCATATGGTAGTTTTTGAAGGTCTGAAGTGTCTTGTGGGAGGCCCTTTTTGTGAGAGACATGCCTAGCTTTCTCTGCTTCATGCTTGGTAATATCTGCTCAGGATGATATGGCATGAGATCAAATAATTGCTTAGTCTTCTGGGTTTTTATTTTTCTTTCTTTCCATAGGCCAGTCTCACAAGAATAAATATTTTGCCTCCAAGTCCCTTCCAATGCTCCTATTTTAAGAGTTTCCAACGCATTTCCACATGCATTCCTGGTGATCTTATCTGCATTTTTTATAGCACCATATTCATTGTTTGCTGTTCCATGTGGTCCGGTCAAACCTAAATTAGCATTTTTTTTTTATTGATTATTATAGGTCCTCCAAAGTCAGGAAGTCAGATGTCGGCTTCGTTTACTTCAAAGGGGAGACATATAATCTCGGTTGGAGAGGACTGTCGTGTTTATGTATGGAACTATGATGGCTTGTGCACCTCATGGTCTAAACACATAAAATCTGTGAAGTCCTGTGAGTTTTTCTTCTCTGAAGGCGTGTCTGTTGCAGTGCCTTGGTCAGGCACGGGAACAGAAGTGAGAGGCCTGGGTAGTAGAAGAAGTTTAACAGAGGAGACTGCTTCGTCGAGGAAAGATTCAGAACGGTTTTCTCTCGGTAGTTGGTTCTTCATGGACGGTCGATGCAGGGGAAGCTACGCAACATGGCCTGAGGAGAAACTCCCTATGTGGGATGTACCAGTTCTAGATGCTGAATATCAAAATCAGCAGATCAAAAACCTTCATGAACAGCAGTGCGTTAACACCAATGACCACATCTCTTTATCAGAAGCATGGGGGCTCGTGATTGTGACTGCAGGATGGGATGGAAAGATCAGGGCTTTCCACAACTATGGATTGCCCATCATGCTCAACTAGATTCAAGCAATCTTCCTGGTCTTGCTAATGAGCCTTGTGTCGCCAGATGACATATGGTGTCATCCAAATTTGGGCCAACTTGTGATTTAGCCAGGTCCATCTTAGTCTGCAGGTATAACGATCATGATTTGCAGCTTTAAATGCAAACCCCACGACATCTATTGTAAATGTTCCCTAGTCTAGTTCTTGTTCTCGGCCTTGTTCTCGATAGAGAACATCCTCAAATCACCAGCAGAAAGAGTCACTTGACATGCTTTGTAACTTGCATGCCATTAGGATTCTGTGGTCACATGCTGCTCATCGAGTCATGCCACAGTTTTTTTTCTTAAAAATCTATTCACTCCCTATTTATGAATGATTAGCATGTATATGATATGAAAAAGAAATACAGTAAATTTTTTATTTTATTAGGCGTCCTTTATCCTCCTCTCTTTTTGGCGAAGAAACAAAAATGTTTCTTCAAACTTTATATAAACCCCGTTTATTTACAGAAAGGTTATTTTTTTTTGGAAAGTGAATTCCAGGAAAGTGAAGACAAAAATGTTTCTTCGAACTTTATATAAGCCTCGTTTATTCGCAGAAAAATTGTTTTTTTTTTTAAAATGAATTTCAAAGAAAATGAATTCCTGAAAAGTAAAGTATTTTCCGATGTTTAGTAGTGTTATGGAAAATGAACTGAAAAATAATTTATTAATATTTTATTTTTCTCAAGTTTATTAAAATAATAAGGAATAAAACAAACACAAGAAAGTTTGGAAAGTGATTTCCCAGAAATCACTTTCTGCAAAACAAACACAAGAAAGTTTGGAAAGTGTTTTTCTGAAAATCACTTTCCGGAAAACAAACACAGCTAAAAAGGAAAACACTTTCCTGAAAATTAAGCAAAAAATTTTTTTAACTAAAAAATATTTTTGTTGACCAGAAAGTATTTTTCGTTGATTGGAAAATATTTTTTGTTGACCAGAAAATGTTTTCCGTTGACCAATTTTTTTAATAAAAACTAAATATAGAAAAATTTAAAAAATAGTTTTTCAAAAACTATTTTACAAGAAACAAACATAATTATATAAAGTGGCTATATAAAGGGAATTCTGAAAAATGGTTTTTCAAAAATGACTATATAAAGTGGCTATATAAAGGGAATTCTTCATCTTAGTCTTGGTAATGCAATTGTCAGTAGAATAGTGAAAAAAATAATTTTAAAAAAATGATACGTACTTGTAAACTGTTAAGTTGCTTAGTCAAGGACATTACAGGTTCAGAGTAATTCAAAACTTATTCTTTGTGTAATAAAGTGAAGGTGCCCTAATTTGTTCACGTCAAGCCCTTGCAGCAGACACCACATAAAATGTTTTTTAATAAAACCAAAATAATTTTAAAAAAAAACTTTGAAGTATTTTATGAAAAGATAAAAAATAAATAAAAAAAATAATATTTAAATTAACTTGAGGCAACATAAAAAATATATAACTTAAAAATAAATTAACTTGAGTTAGCCTATAAAAATCAATGAAATTAAAATAATTTGATAAAAAATAAAAAAAATAAAAAATCACAATAAACATAAAAAAATAAAAAGATATTGAGACATTTTATTTATGACTCGAGTTATTATACCATAAAAAATAAAAAAGCTTAGTTTTTAATAAATAAAAAATAAAAAATAAATTAATATTTAGGGGAATTTATTTATAAAGGGCCTAGCACATAACTCGTAAGCAACAAGTTCAGAGACCCATCACCAGCCCATCAGAAATCCATGGACTTTCTAGGCAAAATTAAACACGCACCAAGTTTCTTCTTTTTTTCAGATTAAAAAAACAAAAAAGTGGAAAGGGGGTCTAATTATCGGTAAGATTTTGTTAATCGAGATTAATTTTTTAATTAAAATTTAAATATATCATTCACATTTAATTTATATGTTTTTTAACAATGTTTTATAACCCTTCTCACAATTCAATCAATTAACTTATGCAATAAATGAATTTAATCATAAAAATAGAAAAGAAGTCGAGTAAATATAATTTATCTTATGAATTAACCAGACAGAAATTTCAAAATGTACCTTTCTTAATCACATCCTTGCAGTAGAAAACCTTTGTAATTTAATTATATGAAGGAATCTTAAGGAAATGAACTTAAAGAAAGTACAGGGAAGAATTAGAAAGTGTTTGAACATCAGATACTAATCTGTTAACAAGCATATATTGTGAGGACTGATCTGTGGTATGACCCTGTAAAAATTAGCACAAAATAGATACAAATATGGATGATATTTTGTTGTGTCGTTTTCTAGTTGGCGTTTATTTTCCGCACGAGAATTTTTTTCTCCAAAATGCCATTATTATCTCTTCCAATGGCTGAATAAATAAAATCTAAAAAACAAAGCAGTTATCTTGTTGCTAGAAATAGAGAAGCTCACAAGAGTCCCCATAAACGGAAGCAGACAGCTTTGCGGCCACTGATTTTAAGTTTCCACCACTGTTTTCAATGGCCGTCTCTGCACCTTCATTTGTATCCCTTACCTCACTAAGTTTTATCTTCTCTTCTTCTTCTTCTTCTTCTTCGAGTCCAGTGAAGTTTAATCACCACCGCTTGATGAAGGGTAAGCGAAGCTCAAATGGACGGTTGGTGATTAATTGCTCTTCTGAAATGGGTCCGACTTCAGACCCCATAAATCTAAGGTAATAACTTAACATGGGTTTGGTTTATATTTTGATGCCATGGATTGCTGGAATTTTAGTTTATGCTCGTGTTCATGTCCTCCGGGTGTTTGTTAAAATGCCTGTGTGTAGCAATGGGTTTTTGGTCAGGCTTTTTATGGGTTTTAGAGGGCGGTTGCGATTGACACGACTGTGCAATCCTGGATGCGTGTTGTGACCAGTGCATGATTGGGGGCCCGACATGATATAGTCAGGATTGCAGAGTCTTGTCGGTGGCCTTTAATACCATTGTTCTAGCTTTGCTATTTATATGTAGTTTCTGCATTTGGGCATTTTGTAGGCAGTTTAAATCTTAGTGTTTTTTAAGAAATTATTTTCTTTTTGTTACCAGGCAGCCTCAAATGTCATCAGTGGCTCCCTTTGGGGTGACAATGAATGAGCAATCTTATAGATGGCAAAGGGTTTTGCTTAAAGTAAGTGGAGAAGCACTTGCAGGAGACCAAATGCAGAATATTGACCCCAAGGTTTTGGAATGCGAATGATTATGTTAATTTTAAGTTTTTATTGGCTTCATTTCTTGATGGTCACTGATAGATGAGTGTTTGTAATTATGCAGGTTACAATGGCGATTGCAAGGGAGGTTGCAACTGTGACACGCCTTGGCATCGAGGTTAACCATCAACACCTTTGTATAGTTTTCCTTGGTATATATATTTGTTTTTAATTCATTTTTCCTTGAATTTATTGCAGTTAATGGTTGTGATTGATATTAATTTTATTTTTAATGTTTGTAAAATAAACTTTAGTGATCTAACTGTGGCATTTCTAAGGCATGTGTGATGATTTTTGTACAAATCATAAGCTAAGTGATCATTTTGGTGGAAATTTTTGTGTCATAGTTCATATCTGGTTCTTGCTTTTGTGTAGCTTGTAACCTGCTTTGGTGTTGGATAAAAGGGGTCTGTGTGACGTGGACAATATGCTAGGTGGGAGGAATGTTATCTCGTCAAGTAAATAAGCCTGACAAGAATAAATTTAAGAGTAATTGGGGTTGTTACAGTATAGAGATTGTGAACACAAGATGGATGCTTTTTGGCCATGAATTGTTTCATCTAAATAATTTATGGTCAATGCTGCAGGTTGCAATTGTTGTTGGTGGGGGGAATATCTTCCGTGGATCTTCATGGGCAGGATGCAGTGGTCTTGACCGGTCATCAGCTGACTATATTGGGTACTCTCCTGAATTGATTTAGTGCCTCTCTATTTCACATGGAAACTTGTTTAATACCAGTGATCACTCATTCTATAATGGTTTCAATCTGGAAATTTATTCTAAGAGGCTGAACCATTAGAAGTTTTAATGGTCTCAATCTTATCTTTGACTTGTTATCAAAAGAAAGCAGGCCTAACTACATTTTAGTGCCCTTTTGCTTTCTACATCTACTTGGTCCTTGGATTTTAGTTCCAACAATCTCAAATTCTGGGTTAACCTATTGGAAACTTCTGTTAACTTTTGATAAAAAATAATGAGCGGCCACCACACATGACTTTTAACCATGGATGTCTGCTGCTCAACTATTGCCAGGGAGGGAATTGTATCCCATTAGCTATCCTAATCCTCAAATCTAAAATCAGTTGAAGAAGATTTCAACAAAGCTTGGTTCATTAGGTTTAAAGGAGCTTGAAACTGGGATTTCAATCATAAAAGATAGGTTATTTCCAGTGCATCGGTTGTTTAGGATCCAATATGATTAACATTAAGTTTCTTTGTTTGAAGTTTCTCAGGTTTGCTTTCTCTTCATGTGAAAGATGTTTTGGTGGCAGAAATTGTAGAATAAATTTGTTTTATGTATATCCTGTAAGATCAGAACTGTGGATAAATTTATTTGATGTTTTTGCTACACACTGAAAGTGCTACACGGTATGTGACCTTGTTGCCAAGAAAGACCAAGGTTAACACTTCTGCAAGTCATTTGGAATGAATTCATTCACCCAAGGATTGTTTGTGAAACAGAATATAAGCTAGCATTATGTGTGAGCAAAGCTTTTCTGGATCACATTATTTTTTTTTCAGCACAGGCTTCATTTTTATGAAGTTATAGACCTTATACAACTTGACAACCTTGAGCATAGCTCACAAGTAAAAATTTCAGTTCTGTTTTTCTGCTCAACATGCTGCGTATAAATGTTTTCTTCAACTATTTTTTACCAATAAAAATGTACAGATGGTTATTATAATTATGTTATTGATACACATAGGTATATTATCTGAATATTTTATTCAGAAGACAGTAAGTGGTTAGTTATCTGAAATCTAAAAGCTCTTTTGAGCCTGTATAGGCACAAGGATATTTTAGTCGGTAGATAGCAAGTGGTTATTTATCAGAAATCTAAATGCTTTCCTTGGAGCTTTATGTCCCTGCTGCATGATTTGTGTTCTGCTTTTTTTTATTTGATAGGATGCTGGCAACTGTCATGAATGCTATATTTCTTCAAGCAACAATGGAGAGTATTGGCATCCCAACAAGGGTTCAAACTGCATTTCGCATGTCAGAGGTTGCAGAACCATATATCCGTAGAAGGGCTATAAGGCATTTGGAAAAAGGAAGGGTTGTGATTTTTGCAGCTGGAACTGGGAATCCATTTTTCACCACAGATACTGCTGCAGCACTACGTTGTGCAGAAAGTAAGTTTAATTTTCTGTATCAGAGTT